AGGAGGCCGCGGTCGTGATCACTGTTTGCCTCCATCCACTGCGGTCACGTCCTCAGGGTGAAATGTACCCCTTGGTGCGGTCCTCCGCTCCTCTCAGTCTGTACCATGCGTCCGTTGCTGCTGCTGCTGCCGCTAGGGGCGCAGGTGGGTCGGCGGGGGCTCGGCGAGGATGGCCCCCGACAGCGGCAGGCGCTCCAGGGACCGGACCACGGCTAGGACACTGGACGCTCCGGAGCCCGGAGAGCGAGCTACGCCGTTCCGCGCCCCGGCCCCGGGGTCCCAGGGGCCCAGAGCAGGTGCCCTCCAGGAGTAGGGTGCTTATGGATTGGGTTTCAGGGTCCGTGGGTGCGATCCCCGCAGTGAGCTCGCTGGGTGAACAGGCAGATCCAGCTGCAGGTCCTGGGGACACTCCCCACTGTTCCACAGGGGCGGCGTCAGTCTGCGCCCCCACCAGCAGGGCACGGGGCTCCCTGCGCCCCACCACCGTGCCGGCCCTGTTGTCGGTGGGTGTGCCGGTGCGGCCTGCTGGCTGGCGGGAGGCGGCCCCTCGCTGGGGGCCATCTCTGACTCCTGGGGACCGCCTGCCCAAGTGTGGTGAGTGCGGCGGGGGCCCCGCTGGGAGGGGCCTGAACCCTCCGTGTGTGAAGGTGACCGAGGAGGGGAGCTGGGGACATGGTGACGCAACATGTAAAATCTCACCCTTTTCCTTCAGCGCAGTTGCAGAGAAATTTGGTTTTCACCAAAGAACAAGTGACAGGTGAGCTCCCAGAGGGCACAGGGACACCTGTCAGCCACGGGTCCCCTGGACCACAGATGGCGGCAGCTCCAGCCACGGAAACTGGAAACCCGGGTGGAACCCCCTGGCGGGGAGCAGGACGCCCCTGTGAGCTGCCGATTCTCTGGGAAGGTGACTTGGGGGAGCTCTCGCCCTGCGGGCGGCTGATGGGAAACTCCGTATGTTCCCAACTCCCCTGCACCGCCCGGGAAACCCTGGGAAAGGATGCGTTTGTTCACCTGGAAGAGTCAACAGATTCACCCAGCCTCTCGTCTTTACAGCCAGGACGGCTGACCTCCAGTGCTGACTGCGACAGATTAGAAAAAGGGGTGTAGGAAGAGGAGACATAAACCGTCAGGGAGACCAAGGGGAAGAGTGACAGGTGGGGACGGCAGCAGCTCCCAGATAAACAAAACCACCCGGAGGACAACGGCCCCAGCCCCCACTTCACAATCAGGGAAGGGAACCTCCACCCTGCAGAACAGTGTCAACATCTGAGCACGCAGGGCAGCGGGTTCTCCAACCACCTGGGAAGAAGAAAGTATGGCGCCACCTCGGGGACCTCACAACCGAGGGAGCCGGCCGTGGTGGTCAGACACGGAAATGCCTGGGTGGCCCTGGTGTCTCAGTCCCGCTGAGGCCCGGCGAACAGGGGAGGCCACAACCCCTCTGGACTGGACGACGCGATGTGGAATCGGTGGGGAGGGACCCCTTCACCCTGAGTTCCGAATTTTACCAAAGCAGATGAATGTGTACAGAGGCTGAGAACAGACTGAGGAGGAGGCTTTGTCTCAAAGGGGAGGGTCAAAGTGCAGGAAGGCAGGACGGAAGACAGACGCCCCAGAGGGAGGCAGGAGTGTGAATGTCAAGAGCTCTGTGTTGGAAGCGTGGCCTTGGGATGGAGGGGTCTGTGTGTCCCCAGGGTCTGTTCTGTTCTTGGGAGCGAGCAATGGGGATCCCGAGCAGACCCGTGAGCTTTGACCTTTTTGAGGCCCAAAGGGGGCCCCCCAGTTGCAGGTGGGGTTTGGAAGGCTGTCCAAACACAGGGGGCATCACAGAAGCTCAGCTGAGAGAACCGCGGGCCGGGCATTGTGGCCTCGGTCGGGGTCGACAGAAACGGAGGGGACGCAACCTCATGACAACCGAGGACGCAGGACCTGCGGGACCCCTGAAGCGAGACTGTGTGACCTGGGGCAGTGCACCTCTGGCACACGAAGGAAAACCTTGACACCTTTCCCACGAAGCCTGCGGGGTCCATGCTCAGAGTCTGCCCAGTGTTCTCTGACGGGGAGTAAAAATAAAGTCGGCGGCCTCAGCAGGGGTGACCTTTGACGTGAGAAATCAGGGTGCGGACCCCTCTGCCCCGCCCTGTGTGGAAGACTTTGGCCCTTGCTGGGTTTTGGGCATAACCGTTGGCTTTGAGTTTCCCTTTCGCTCTTTTACTTCTGCTGCTGGTATGATCTGCAAGGCAGTTGTCTGGGATCGAAGACAAATACTTGGAGAAATAAATCAATGAATCAAAACCCCATGTGCCCACTGGCGCCCAGGGACCCCGAGGCCAGAGCCGCCTTGAGTCGACCCCTTTGGAGAGTGAGCCCGCGTGTTCTGTGGGAGTGGGGGCGGGCGGGAGAGTGAGCCAGGGCTACATCCTCTGTTGCAGGGACATGGGAGGACCTGGGCCCTCCGAGCCGCATGGGCCCCCTGTTGCCGAGGCAGATCCTGTCCCCTCTGCCTGGGCGTCTCGGGGGGGTCGTCACAGAAAGCGCCTCCTTCCAGGGCCCCCGGGGCCAGCTGACATTTAGGCTCATTTGAATTACATGACAGCGACCACATGCTCACTCACCGTCTCTCTTCTACCGTCCTGCATATTCCTGTGACCTTGGTCTCTTGGGGGGTATTTAAACCCCCCCTTGTCAGTTTAGTGGGGACAAGGAGCAGGCGCCAGAGTCTTCCACTCCACAGGGTGTCTGGCAAATATGTTCACGTGTCCCGATACTCCGGGCTAGTGCACTTTTAGAAGCCACACGGAAATTCATAATCGGGACGATAATAATTCATTCAGTCTCCACGATTTCCCGTTCATTTACATTCTCCTTCCTCACAATCATGAAGATCCACGTGATGATGTCCTCGCACCTTTTACTGTGCTCCGAGGCCACGACCTGACCCTTAATAACGGCGGCCGGGTTGGAGGGCGGGTGCCGGTCCGAGCTTGGGACCCACAGGGACCTTGGTCACCTGTCTTCCCCACGAAAGGCAGCGGGGAGAAGTCAAGGATAATGGCTCCGTCCGGCATCATGAGATCCTTCCAGGTCTGTCTGCACGAACAAACAGACTGACAGACTCTTTCCCACGTGAGGACAGGGCGTTCCCAGCGACCGGGCAGCCCCACGCTGCTGGGGTTCAGGGGCGCAGTGGCCCCAAAGCGGGTCTGCCAGGCCGGCGACATGAGGTGGCCCAGCTCACAATGAGACTGCACGCGTTCCACGTGTTCGGCATGACGAGTGTGCACACGTGTGTCCTCCCCGGGACTGCCGCCACGGGGGTCCTAAACGTGCCGGGACCTCCGAACGGTACCTTCTGCTTCTCCTTTTCTTAGAGTAAAAGTGCTTTACATGAAATCTACCTTAACAACATTTTTTGAAAAGACTTTTACTTTTACAGAGAGGGGCAGAGAGGGAGAAATAGAGAGAAACATCAAGCTCCAGTTGCCTCTCATGCACCCCCTACTGGGGACCTGGTATGTGCCCTGACTGGGAATCGAACTGGCCACCCTTTGGTTCACAGGCCAGCACTCAGTCCACTGAGCCACAGCAGCCAGGGCCTGGCAACATCTCATGTGCACAACACCAGGTTGTTGACTAAGGTCCTTCCTACCTGCTATGTCGCCCCAAGTCTTTTCATGCTGGATTCTGACACACTCGGGAAAGGGGGGCAGACCTCACTGAGCAGCCGGAGGAGGCGGCCGGTTCAGTGAACTTGTAGCACGGCCGCCCTAGGCCTTGGTCCGTCCCTGTCGGCGTGAGCTCACACAGGTGTGCATCATCCGTTCACCCGCCCCCTACTCCACACCTGCCCACCAGCACCTACGAGGGACGGACTCAGTCCCGGGGACAAGGTCTAGAACCGAGAGGCAGGCCCGGCCCCTGTGTGCACGGGGCCCAGGGTTCAATCAGAGAGGCGTTGGACAGGGAAGCAGCTTCAGCCACCGGAGGATCCGTGGGAAGGGGGCGCCCGACAGGAACCACGTCACTGTGTCCCCGCCTGTCTTGCTGGAACACGGCTCTGGCCCGAGACTCAGGTGTGACGCCACACCCAGGGCAACCTTTCAGAGAACTGTGAACAGACACTCCTATCACACCGTTTTCTTCAAAGGAAAAACACACTTTGAGAGTTTAGGAAAATTTCTGAGGCCCGAAATTGATAAGGGGATGGTCAGGCTCACCCTGATGGCTCCCAAGTGTTCTGGAGCCCACAGCGCTGTCCCCACACCCCAGGGGGTCAGAAAGTAGACAGAGCCCGAGCTCCCGAAACCCATCACCTAGGAAGACGGCCCCGCCTCTCAGGCAGGTGTGACGCAGGTGCGTGCGCCCACCTTTGACTGCAGCGAGATGTCGTGATGCAGCACAACCTTCCCAGTGACAGAAACCAGCTTTCACCTGGACTTGTCCTCTGGCGAAGGGAGGTCGCTAGTCCTTGGAACAAAGTTAAAAGCCGAGAATTATGCCCGTTTCACAAATGAGAAAACAGGCTCAGGGGTCAAAAATTTAAAAAAGAAAGAAAAGCTTTACTCCCCCCACCACCCAAGGCCCCCAAGTGGCAGAGATGGGACCCTGCCCCAGAGTGTGGGCCCCAAATTCATCCCACTTCCCACGCACGAGGGTCCGTGCCTCAGGGCCCCTCAGTGAAAGTCTGCGGGATTCGTGTTACTGCCTCGTACAGTCACTGTTTTCACGGGGCCAGAGAATCGATGGATCCGTTTCAACCCCGCACGAGGCTTCCAAAGGGTTTTCAGCCCCAGCCCCCAGGTGTCGAATTCATCCAGAAACTGAGGTGGAGTGTAGTTCACTTTGCTGATAAGCACACGCCTGGCTCTAATGGAAAACAGTTTGGAACTTCCTAAAAAAATTGAAACCACAGCTGCCTTTTGACCCGGCAGTTCCAGTGCGGGGACCATTCACTCAGGACCCTGAAACGCCCGTCTGAAAGAACCCACGCACCCACCGTTCACAGCAGCGCCTTTCACAGCAGCCAAGTACTGGAACCAGCCCAGGGCCCACCGGTGAGTGAGGGGATCAGGTCACTGTGGACCATTTCCACGGTGGAATCCTACGCAGTGGAGAGAAAGGGGGAGCTCCTGCCCTTGGCAACAGCGTGGACGGAACTGGAGCATCAGGTGACGTGAAATGAGTCAGGCAGTGAGGGACAAATGCCACACGGTGTCACCTCTGCATGGAACGTAATCAACAAAACAAACAAGACTGCAAAATGTAACTGGGTCCTTGAAATGAAGAACAAACTGGCAGTAACCAGAGGGGAGGGGGAAGGGTGTTAACAGAAAGAAGGGGAAGTGTTCACAGCAAAAACCTGTAAAGGACCCAGGGATACAGCCAAGGGGGGGGAGGAGTGGGAGGTGGGGGGCGGGGGACAGTGGTGGGGAATGGAGAGAACCGACCTGAACGACTTGAAGAAAAGTAAACACACAGCAGAGGAAAGAAAGGATTTGTCGGTGGGACGTTGTGCCGAGAAGACACCTTCAGGAGTTCTGCTGCCGTGTGTGAAATCTCACCGACGGCTCGGACCACAGTGAGAGCGCTTCCTATCCCCCCAGGGACCGCAGGTTGGATGTGTCGGCTAATGCCCTGGAGACAAACTGAACGTGAAGGTGACCTCAGCACGCGGAGACGAGGAACCAGGGGATCAGGGTGAGACGCGGCAGCCGGGAAACCGCTGGTGGGGAGCAGCCTCCAGCGCCCCGCCGTCTCAGTCAGTTCACCCCCTGGAAGCAGGTCAAGGCCGTCGGCTCCAGGTGGTCCTGCCCAAGGTCATCGTTGAAAGCCGCAGCCCGGGTTTTTGGGGTGCTCGCTGTGGAAGCCAGCGGGCGAATGAGGGGTGTTCGCGCCCGCTGGAAGACTCGGGGACTGAAACATCGACATACATGTGTCTGGATGGCTGAGTGTGATTGGGTCACGTGTAACCAAGTCCCTCCAGTGATGACACTTAGCTGATTCTCTACCCTTTCTTCCCCAGAAAGAGCCATGTTTCCAAAACACCAGTAGTGGGAGAATCCGTATTAAGTCTGAAGGTGCGGGGAAACGCAAGGCTGGGATCCAGGGCCGGGCTTGAGCCCCCCACACCCTGGGCCCCACGCATCTCAGAGTAGGATAACCACGCGGCACCTGGTAGCTCACACAGCACGAGACCCGCCATGACACACAATAAGGCTGTCGGATGTGCTGAGTGGGGACCCACTCAGGACTCTCTGACCCACCAGTGTGTTTCTGTACCCCAGGAAGTGTGGTGGGTTCTGCCCGGGGACGGTCAGGAAGGGAGACCTTGGGTGTGGGGGAAGGGCACGAGGTCACGCGAGAGGACAGCAGGACCTTCCCGGTGCTGCTTCGGTCAGGCCGCTGGGTTGGCCCTGAAACTGGAGGGTCAGGAAAATCGGACCCGGAGTGCGGGGGGGCTTCTGGAGGCCCCCCAGCGTGTGCTGAGCTTTATCAACCACTGCTGACTGCTCCGGGCATGGAATCGGGAAGGGAGCCCCTCTCCCCGTTCTGGGGGAGGCCCCGGAGGGCTCTGGCCCTGCTAAATTAGAGGCCATGGGACTGACAAGGCCCGAAATTCAGACACCACCGAATCCGGCCCAAAAAAGTCATGACGGAAAGGACAGCCGGTGGCTGTCTCCACAGGGAGGTGGCTGTTTCCATGCGAATGTCCTGGGCTGGCTCCTTCAGATCTGTGCTTGGCTGGGTGCAGAGGCTCCCAGGCGGTCAGGGGCACCGGTGTCCCCACCTCTGACCGGCCTTCCTCTTCCCGGATGTCCCACTCTGGTGTCTTACCACACTCCTCCATCCTGGCGAGGTGCCACCAACAACATCAGGCTCCCCAGTGAACCTCCCATTTTGACGGGCAGCTCTTGGGTCCATCCTGGGCCTGGCTCCCACTGGTCTGAGGGGCCACATGCCGGTGTGAGAATCAGGGCCCCGAAGCCTCTTGTGTGCACAGTGAGGACCAGGGAAACAACAGTGTCCACAAGCCGGTGTCCCCAAAGCCACCGGCTCTGCAGGCACAGAGGGTCACCACCCTCTGTTCCTGCACCAGCGGTTGTCTGGGGGCCCTGTGTGGTCCAGAGACCAGCCCCTTGAGACTGGAATCACCACATGCCTGGTCCGGGGGCCAGTCCCCCCACACCCGGCTGGGGTCAACCACCAAGAGCCCCACAGAGAACAGTCACCTAGCTCGCTCGAGTCACCTGCCACTTGAAAATTTCGGGCGTGCACCAGCAGCAACTGATTCCTAGAACCTGGAGCAACCCGTCCCGGACGTCCCTCTATGGCCTTTGTGCGCCCCTGCACACTGCTCCCTGCCCCTCAGTGTACCTGCTCTCCTGGACCCTGGCTAGCCTACTGGACTCGCCAGGTCCCTAGGCAACTGCTGATGACAAGGACGCCGTTGTCCCTCTGCATGCTGGGAGTTGTAGTCTGTAAATGGCAGAGGCCTGGGCCCTGGGCCAGGTCTCCGGAACCTTTGGTGCTGGAAGGTAGGACAGTCCTGAGTTGAGGCCCCACATGCAGCAAGGTGCTGAGGTCACAGTGCCCACAAGAGAAGCCAGCGTTAGGGACCGGTCATCTCGCACAGGTGTGTTGAGGTCAGCATTGAGGGATGACCGGTTCCAAGGAGGCTTAGAGGTAGGGACTGGGGGTGGACGGGGCGTGCGTTCCATGAAGAGTGGACTGTCCTGCAAATGACCCCAGGAGAAGGAAGCTGCTGACAAATTCACTGTGACCACAACACACGCAGCAACACCAGAAGAGATTTGGGTTTGGGGTGCAGGCTGGGGAACACAAGGAATGGTAGAGACCCACCCCAGGGGGTAAGGGTGGGTGCCAGGGAGGGCGGTGGCCAGACCCCTGCTCTGACCCCCAGTCCAGTGCTAGTGGAGGAGACTGGACTCTCGGAGGCAGGAAGGGAGCCGGAGTGGACAGAGCTGAGTCAGTGACGGGCAGCAGTGTGAACGGAGGCAGGGCCTAGGGGGCCGGGCACACAGGTCTGGGGAGGGCCATGGGACCACCACACCCTGGGGTGAGGGGGCCCAGGGAGATGCCTGTGGGGATGACGCCCACGGTTCTGGGTGGGAGAGGCCAGCTGGAGTGGCAGTGACGTCACTGAGGGACTACGTGGGGGCTGAGGGTGCTCGGCCCCACGGGAGTGCGGGTCCGCGTGGGAGCATCTCCAAGGACTGGTGCTGTTCTGGGTGAGTGACAAGGGGCAGGGTTGGTTAGTTCTCAGGGGAGCACTGGAGGGACGGTGCTATCATTCCCAGGGACAGAGGCCCTGGGGACACCAGAAAACACACAAGGGGACACTCCAGGCTCTGGTCCCCGTTTCGGGGCCCTGCACCCACAAACCACACCTGAGGTTCCCGTGACTCTACAGGATGTCACCTCCCAAGGACAACACACCCAAAGTTGTTCACCCAACAGGAATGACAGAAAACACGATTTAGAATATAAATTTTAATGTGTGAAAAAAAAGTATACAAGTATGTGAAAACACTAACATATAAATCTTAATAGGTAAGGAAAGTTAGTAAAAACATATAATTAACCACTTAGAGAACTGTACAAAGGACTCTATAGCTGGCATGTGACAATAACTGTCCCCATGCCCTGCCCCAGCTGACCTAGTGACAGCTGAGAGTGGCCGCTGGTTTGTCTGTCATGGACTGACTTATAAGTGTCACCCAGGTATGGCACTCCCAAGTGGAAGCCGGGGCACATCGCAGTGCCTGGGACATCAAGGAGTGAGCTACTGGGGTTGCACAGATGACCAGCCAGCCCTCCTGCCCTGTGTTTGAGAGGAGGCCATGGCTTGTGGGCCCACTGAGTACACCCAGTGGGACCTCCCTGAGCAGCTCAGGCCCCCAGAGCCCAGAGGAGCAGCCCGTGGGCCACATGGGCCACAGGCAGAGGGCCCCCAGCAGAGGCTTCCGGTAGAACCTACTTGGACACAGAGGGGCTCCGTCCCATCTGGGATCTGTGAAGGCGCCCACAGGAAGGGACCTGGGGGAGGCCAGACCCCAGGATGCCACTAAGTCACAGCCGTTGCCAAAAAGGCTGACTAGTTCTGGACTCTGTGTCCTCACTCCCTGAGATATCCTCCGCAGCCAGCTTGTTTATGCTGTTTCCCAGACGTTCCCGCAACCGCATCTCACAGAGGGGCCGCGTGAGCCTGAAGGGGGGTCGCAGCGCATCCCAGCTGCTCTGCCAGCACAGCAGCATCCCGTGGTGCTGCTCCGGCAGGTTCCCTGGGTTCTCATGCTCACAAATGACAATGTTGTTCTCCTCCAGTCCCTCCAACCTCATGAACATCCTCCAGCGACTTTTGGAAACCTCCTGCCCGAATTCGAAGTAGATCCTGTTCGTGGCTGAGAAAAGAAAACCAAGGAGGGAGACTTGGCCTCGTTCCTGGAAGGCAGGTGTGGCGTGGGCTGTGTGCCGTGATGTCAGGACCCGGGGTGGGGGGAGGCCCTGGGCGTCCAGGCTGCCCTCACAGGAGGGACCAGGCTCGGGGACAGGAGAGCGCAGTAGGACGTGACCTGGCCTGGCTCCTGACAGGCCTGACACTCCTTCACATGGAACCAGTGAGTCTGGCAGAAGGGCCTGGGGGCCCGAGGGTGGGGAGCTCCGGGGGTGACGTGTCTTCTGAGGCTGCCCCCTCCTGTGCAGCTGTGGGGCAGCAGGGCGAGGTCTGTAACCTCGCTGCACTGAGACTGCCCCACCTTCGGATGTCACGTGGGGGGTCCCCCTGAGCTGTCAGATGGGGGAGTACAAGCAGCACCTGGCCCACCACGGGAGCAGCTGGAGGCCTGCACCCTCCTGCCCCCGACAGCAGCGCTGCAGCCCCTAGGGACTCACCAGGCCAGGGTTTATTTATGGGGTTCCCTGGTGTCCTCAAGAGTCTGGGTCCAGCAACACCTTGTGCAGAGAGGCTGCAGGCTCTTCCCCACAGAGAGAGACCACTGCCCGGGGCCCCCATCAGTGTCCCCATTCCTCCCCCTGGGTGATTAGGGGTGAGGAGCAGGGCCAAACTAACCGAGAACAGAGGCTGAGATGCGGGTCCGGGGCACTCATGTGGTCGGTACCCCTTGTTTGTCCACCCTGCAGGGAACAATGTACAGAGTCAGTGACCTTGTCACCAGGGACCCCAGGATGCCCAGGGACGGGATGGGTACTTACTGAGCTCGTCCTGCAGCGTATCTGCAAATAACCAGAAAATACAGTCCTGTCAGCAGATACAGAGGAGGATCCGGGTGGTGGGTGTGGGCTGGGCAGGGAGGAGGTGGCCGCCTGCAGCTGGGCCCCACCGGGGGGGCTTTCCACCCGCTGCAGCTCCTGCTCTCTCCGCTTCTCCTGGGACACAGCCCGGATCATCTGCCGCCGTCGCCACACCAAGCACGACACTCCCAACAGGAGCACCATACCAATCAGCAGGACTGGGGTGATAAACGCCATCCGAGGCTCTGCGTTCCTGAAGAAGGGACCTGCGAAGGGGTAACGTCAGCCCCTGAAATGACCTGCCTGTCCCCAGAGTGCCCAGAACTCTTAGTGTCACCCAGTAAGTACCTTTCTCTTGGAACATCTGCCTCCCCCATGGGATCAGATCCGGTACGAAGCAGCAGTGTCACTGAAGTCGCCTCTGCACCCCCCCACTGATCATCTGCCCCCCACTCAGAAGAGCCTGGTGATGAAGATCGGAACTCTGGGGCTGCAGGGCCTGGGTTCCAGTCCTGGTTTTCCTGCCTGACCAGCCCTGTGACCCTGAACTAATGATGTCACCACCTCTTGCTGGCGTCCAGATCACTGAGAGCATTAAGTTAATGCTTGTACAGGCCTGACACAGGGTCACTGCCACACCGGTTTCAGTAAGTTTTAAAAACTAAACATATTTTATCTTGTCTGCATCAAAATCAGCCCCTATGCAACCTGTGCTCCTGCTGCGTCCTCTCTTCTGTGACAACTAAGGTCTGAGGGACTGTCTCCCCACAGCCCACCACCAGGGGGCGCCCGCGACCTTGTCTTTCCTTCTGCCAGTTTCACAGGTGGAAATACTTCCCTGTTCAGTCAGATTTGGCATTGTCCCGTGAGTTTTACTTTTCTGTGAACCGACGATTCCTGTTTTTGCTTGTTTATCTACTGTGTGCTTTATATTGAAAGGAGATTAGCTCTTTTATTGAGATTTCGGTTGTACCTATTATTCCCTCTCCCAGTGTGTTTGTTGATCTTGACTATTTATCCCAAAGACCCATTGCCTGGAACCGAGTGTGACACACAGGAAGTGCCCAGAAGGTGTCTGTGACATAAACCGAACCACAGGTCCCTGTGCCATGTCTGCCCTACAGTGTCCCAGGCCAGCAGCAGACCACTGACCCTTCACACCCAGGAGCCCAGGGCAGTGGGCAGGGCACTCACCTGCCATGGAAAGCCCCGCTGACCATTCCTGGCCCAGCAGAGGGTTTCTGAGGACACAGGTGACCCCCTCCTGAGAGCCACCTTCCAGGATCACAGAGGCTGAGGCTGCATAAAGGCCCTGGGGGTCTGTGACTTCTGTGACCACCTCATTGGAAATTCTCTGTCCCCTGGCGTCTCTCCACTCTACTTGGGGCTGCGGGTACCAGCCGGCAGACGTGCAGTTCACACGGATCCCTCCAGCCTCGTAGCCCTTCATTTCAATGTGGGGACCAGAGCCCAGCGCTGGGGAGGAAAAGTGATCTGAATCATGGGGGGCCCTCTGCACTGGTGGGGTCTCCACAGCAGGGAGGGGCACCCACACTGACCAGTCCAGCAGGGACTCACCAGGAGCTGTTCCCAGCGTGTGCTGTGCAGCAGACTGACCCCTGATGGGGACACTGCCTGACCATGGCTGGACCCTCGTACTGGATCCAGGGGGACCTGGGCCAGAGCAGAGACTGCTCCCCCTAAGTCCCCTCACAGACTGCCCCAGCCTCCCCTCCCCCACCCTGGGCAAGCATGGAGGTGGTGCCCCTTAGCCTAAGGGGGTCCCACCCACTGACCCTGTCTGTCCTGCCTGTCATGTGGGGGCTGTGCCCTCCCGTGAGCAAGAGGAGACACACACGGTGTCCCATGGCCCCCCGAGTTGTCACCTGTGTGCAAGGCCCCTCGGGAGGCTCTGGCTGCACCTACTGCCAGGCTGCTGGGCTCCCCCTGCAGGGACCCCCCCGGAAGTGTGTGCAGGGGGGACTTTCACACAGAACACGGCGGACTCAGGGCCAGACAGAGGGGACTCACTGCCACCTGTCCCCACCCCCTGAACACAAAGGAGAGGAGGCCCTGTGAGGATCTGAAACACCGAGTCCTGTAGGGAGGGGACCATCTGGGGAGCTGTGATTTCCAGGAAGGGACAGCAGGCTGAGGAGGTGGCCGTGGGGGACAAGGCCAGGGAGCCACACTGTCCATGCGCTACCAGGCCCACTGCACTGGAAGCCACGGGGCAGGGTTGTGTCCGGGAAATGCGAACTGCAGCCCAAACGCCTGGACATGAGCATCTCAGACAAGGCACTTGGTCACTGGGATGGGTCAGGGCAAAGTCAAGGTCACTCAAGAGTCGGGTGACAGCACAGAGGAAACAGGAACCGTGTGCAGTGACCAACCTCCCTGTGCCGGCTGAGAGTGACCAGTGACACCCCGGCACCATCCTGACAGCGTCATCACCAGTGCACAGCGCTGCTTCCTCATCCCCCCAAACCGCACAGAGTGCTCCCTGACGCCCTCTCTCTGGGACACCCCGGCGTCCCCGTCCCCAGGTGAGTGTCCTGCCCCACTGCACCGAGGACAGACACAGCCTGATCAACTGCACGTGTGTTCCCGGGGGTTCGGCAGGGGACGTGGACCCCACTGGTGTGGTCCCTGCAGCTCAGCCTCCTGCACCCACAGCAGCCAACACCTGGGGGACCCTCGGCCATGGTCTGGGTCACAATGAACCCAAACACCCATGTGCCTCCCACTGAGGGGAGGTGTCCTCATCCTTCCTGTTCCTGACCTCCTTTCCCTGCTGAGACTGGTGGGTGGCACGGGGGAATCTGTACTGGATGCAGGATGAAGTCACCCCAGGGGACACCTGGGTCTGTCTTCGGCCTCAGAGGAGCAGAGATGGAGGTGGGGGGGTTGCTGGTGAGCAGCCCCACCTGCTCCAGGGCAGCTTTGCAGCCTCTGCCCCCGGCCCACAGAGAGGAGCCCAGAGCAAACCTGAGGCTCACCTGCCACCTGCAGCTCCACCTGGGCCTTTGCAGAGAAATCTCCGTCTTGGAAGTAACACACGTAGGTCCCGTTGTCTGAGGCTGTGACGTTGCGAATCCGCAGAGCAGCCGTCCCCGCAGTGACGTCCTCTCTTAAAACCGAAGTTCTCCCTCGATACTCCTCTGCCGGCGTGTCCTCCTGCCCGTGTGCGTACGTGAGCACCACCTGCCTGCGGCTGGGTCGCACCCACATCAGCTCCATGCTCTCAGCGCTCCTCTTCGGGGACAGGTGACAAGGCAACTCAGCGTCTCCACCCACCATGGCCAGGATGGGCTCAGGGGGTCCAACCACAGCAAAGTCAGCTGGTCATCAGAAAGGGGGGGGCTCCATCAGAGTGAGCAGGGCCAGGGCATGTCCCAGGAATGGAGGGGAGGTGACACACACCTACAGGGAAACTCGGTCCTAACACAGGAGCAGTGCGGACATGCCATGCAGGGGTGGGAGGGGTCCCAGGTTCTGACTGGGCCCAAAGGTAAGGGATTCAGACACCCAGACACAGGGCAGGTCCTACCTGAGCAGGGGCTGAGCAGCTGGACCAGGGTGAGGCAGACAGGGAGGGCAGGCAGATGGGGGACCAGGCACCTCACCATCCTGACCTGCCGTGCACAGAGAGAGGCCGGCAGGGCCTGGGGAACAGTGACCACCTGGAATGGGGAGGAGAATGCCACATGGAGAGGCTGCCTCCCCAGGCCCGGCCCTGTCACCACCACCATCACTGGGGACCCCAGAGCCTCCTCCGCAAATGTCCCCTGGGGCGTCTCTTCACCTTGGATCCCACCGTGGAAGTCAGCCAGGAAACATGGAGCCGTAATGGACGTACCTTATTCCTGGCCAGCAGGGAGCACCAGGCTCTCCTGTGCCAACCTGCTCAGAAGCCCTCCACCTGCCCACACTTCCCTGCCCCAGCCAGGTGCCTGCCCCCAGACCACCCTCTGAGGAAGGCAGGTCCTGTGCTCTGAGTCCCTGATCCCGCCGCTGCCCCCTGCAGGCCGAGCTCCACACAGCAGCCAGGGCCTCCCACCCCCTCACCTCCCTCCTGCTCAGCCCCTCCCACGAGGTCCCTGTCACCCAGGGCAGAAGCCCAGGGCCTTTGCACCCTGTGCTTTAAATTATCTGACTGTTTTAGGGGATGGCTGGGTTGGGGGTGAGTGGTTCAGGGAAAATGGAGACAACTGTATTTAAACAGTACAAAGAAAAAAATAATAAAATTATATGAGTGTGTTAAAGTCTAAAAGTTTCCACAGTGGAGAACACATTTGCACATATTCTGGAGGATATTTACTGTTTTTCATTCCTATCATAGATCATTTTAAGATATAAAATACAGAAGAATGAAACTTCAATAACTCACAATGGTAATTACATCCTTTGTTTCAAGTGACTGTGGACACCTGTGGATGCGTCTGGCTGCATGTACACAGGGCCGACCCAGAAAGAGAATTTACTTATAAAAACTGAGTATTCATTCTCACACCTTTAACCCTCAGTCACCCTCAAATGCTCTGTCCTGGATGGGGACACCCGTGGGGACGTCCCTCCACAGCCCTGAACACTCTCTGGCCTCGGGGACTCTGACGCCTCTTCGTGCTTCTGCCATTTTGTCTCACATGTTACATGTTGGGATGTTTCCCTTTGGAGATTCTGTTCATCCGGAAAATACATTCTGTGTGCTGTGGGCAGGTGGGCTGATAAATCAGCCGTCGTGAACTGGGCCAACACTCTGGAACAGTCGTCAACAAAAATTCACTGAGGCCCAGCACAGCCTCTCACAACAACGCCAGCTGGTCACTGATGCAGACGGGTTCCTGGGACTCTCGCCTAGTGGGGGAGGCTGGACCACAAGGGGCCCGCCGTCCTGAAGGGAACTCCCGGTAGTTTTCCAGTCCCTCCTTGTATACCAAATATCCTGAGCTTTTTTGTTTGTTTAAGGTTTTTGTTTTTTTTTTAAGAAAGTGAAAGGGAGGGATAAAGAGAGGGAGAGAAACATCCCTCATTGGCTGCCGCCGGCACACCCCTCGCTGGGGGCCCAGCCGACGACACAGGTGTGTGTCCAGACTGGGAACCCACCAGCCACCCTTCGCTTCGCAGACTGGACCGCAAACCACTGGGCCACACCAGCCAGCGCTGAAAATGTTTATCCTTAGTCCCACAGACTACACTGTCAGGAATTACTCTCCATGAAAAACTGGCCCGGCATCAGAAAGCAGAAAGCACTTGGAGACAAATGCACCCTAAGAGTGGACAGTCTGCACCCTGACGGCCGTGAGAACCGAGAAGGGAAATGAAGGGGACACACCATGGGGGACACACTGAGCTCAGGGTCGGCAGGAGCAACACTGTCACACCGTCCTTGCTGCCTGAAGCCAAGTGCACACTCAGGCTGTGCCTGTCAAAATGCCGATGGCCTTCTTCTCAGAAGGACAACAAGGAATCCTGAAATTTATAGGGAACCACGAAGGACACCACGTGGCAAAATAAAACATCTACAGAAAGAACAAAATTAAAGCTATCGCAACCCCTGATGTCAAAGCTCTGGCAGAAAACAGACGAGCAGGTCAATGGGACGGAACAGACAGTCAGACACGAAGCGAGACCTACACGGACAACTCGCCCATGACAGAGGAGGCGAGAACGTACAATGGGGGACACACAGTGTCTCCAAATGATGCTGGGACAACTGCACAGACACGTGCACGGGACCGTGCTGGGTCACGTCCTGATGCCGTCCGTGTACAAGAAGGACCACAGGCTGGGGAATGAGGCAAAGGTGAAGCCCCAAACCGAACCCGGGAAGAAACCAGGCCCCGGACCCTCCGACTCCGCCCTTCACGCCACCTCTCAGGCACGACTGCTCGGGGAGGGCAGCAAAGGAGGAGACGGACCGGGGGGCCAGTGGAACTAACGGTCTGCACAGCACAGGGACCGGCAACACGGCGAAAAGACAACTTAAAGACGGAACAAGGTCTTTGCCGACGATACGATCAGTCAGGGGTTAATATCCAAAATGGAAGAGAGCACAGATCATTTAAGACCAAAAAATCCCCTCAAACCATCGGACTTTGAAAATGGGCCGACCACCTGAACAGATATTTCTCCAAAGAACAGACACAGGGACTCGGGTCCCCTCTGTGGTCAGACAGTGTGAGGCAGTCCCAGCTCCGACTGACATGTGTGTCTGCGTTGGTCAGATTCTATGTTTTACAAGTGACTGTGTCAGACACCTTTACATCCAGATCTTCGGGACACACAGCTTGTGACCCGCCCCACTGACCTCTGCACGTCCTTTCTCAGCAGGTGCGTGACGACCTCCAGACTCAGATGTGATGGCAGGGAAACAGCCTGTGCTCCTGAGAATTCTAGACACGGATCCAAGGGAACTGAGTCCCACCTGCAGACTCTCAGCTCCCAGACGCTTGCTGACCTCCAACCAGTTGCCCCAACAGACGGTGCTGCTGGCACACGGTCCCCTGGATGCAGAACTTGCAACACCCTCCCGAGTGAGTTTCTCTTGTTCTTTTTCTCCTTTTTCTCCCTCCTTAAGAAACCCTGGCCCAGAGCTTCCTGCCACAGGTGGGAGGAGACCCCGGCTGTGCCCCCGTAGGTGGGTCACTCAACCTCTCTGAGCCTCAGATTCTGGAAAAGCCCCGTCAGGTTCCTCGTGCCCTGGGTCCTCAGGAGGTGCCGCACTTGCTGCTTACTCGTCACTGAGGCAGACGTGTGGTGGGGAGGCTGCGGCCTTTCTAACTGGCCTGAGCCCCTGCTTGGATTTAAGTCCCCCACCCAGTGCAGGGGAGTGTGGTGGAGGGTCCCTGCCAAGGTGGCGGAACCTGAGTCTCTTCCACAGACTGCGGGGCACCCTGGCCACACTGTTCACCTGTCACACCTGCCCTTAGGGTGATTCCTACCAGCTGGGTGGTCGCGGGGTCGGCTGCAGAAACCAAGGAGCCCCACGCCTCACTGCACCCACTCACCCTCCCAGAACTCGGCACAGGACAGACAAGAGGTCTCCGAGTTGTGGGAGGAGGAGCCAGGCTCACACTCAGTCTCTGCACACACAGGAGCCTGAAAGGGGTGGGACAGAGGAGAGGTGGGGCCAGGGAACAGGCCACACCTGGTCCCTGCGGCCTCTTCCTGAGGAGGCCACAGCACCTGGTGGCCGATTCCCAGCACAGCACCATCGCCTGTCTCCTTCTGGGCTGATAAGCCCGCTCCAAGTGTCCCAGGGGCTGGGGACCTGGCTCACCCTCGGCTCTTCCCGACATCCTGCAGCTCCGGGAAGAGGGGTGCTGAGGGGTCACCCCTGGGCCCGCCCCCCGGGAGCGCTCCGCAGCATCTGCGCCCCGTGCCCAGGTCCTCCAGAAACAAGCGTCCTCCCCGTTGTACGGGAGTCGATTTCTAGCAAATAAAAGACCGTTTTCTTAAGAGAAACTCTCCCGCCATCCTCGATGGGGTGGCTTTGGCTGTGGCAACACCTGGGACTGCGCGCCCGCGCCCCGCCCTGCTCCTCGCCATCCAATCCTGCCTCCAGGCCCACGACTCGGAGCCACCCTTGCCCGGCCCGCACACATCCCCACAGACCCACAGCAGCGAGTCCGGCCGCCAGGCTCCACGGAGGCCCGGACGGAACGTGGACACTCTCCAGTCCCCTCAGAAAACTGAGGACCCACCTCAGGTTCCGCCGAGCCAGCGTCACCTGCACCAGGGCGCGCGCCCCGCGGAGCGGAGGCAGCCCCAGCCCCGGGCACCACGGACCCTCGGCTCCGCAGGGCTGGAGGAAGGCGGTCCGGGGCCGCCTGGGCAATGGCTGCCCGGAGAGCAGGGGTCGCCAACCACCGGCCCACGACCGGTCCCGTTACCAGCGTGTTAGGAACCGGGCGACCAGCAGAGCTCAGCTGCCCTCCGCGCTCTGCTCCCCCCGCCCCGGGCCCCTCCCGTAGAGAATCTGGGGTCCCGCAGGAGTGGGACTCGGGGGCGCCGGTGAGCTGGGACTATTCGCACCCTTAGCGCCTCGGACCCCAGTGCGCCGGTGCGGGGGGCGGAACAGAAGGCGCCAGGTCTCCACCCCCCCACGCCCGCTCAGAGCTCGCACTTGGCCCGCGATTTTGTGCAGCCCCAGGCGACACGGGTCCCGCGATCCGGGTCCGCCCTCCGCGCGCGCCCCGCACCCACCTGCGCCTCCACGAGCAGCAGCGACAAAGTCAGGAGACGTGAGCGCAGAGACCGCAGCAAGCGCCGCTCGGGAACAGCGGCGAGGCCGGTGCAGCAATTTCACTTACGCGGCCGCCCACGCGGTCTCCCCCGAGGGCCAATAGCGGCAAGGCACCGCTAGCGCGGATTGGCTGCACGAGGGCGCCTCCCATACAACTCCGCCCCCTAGGGAAGGACGGAAGTAGGGAGTTTGTTCTGCTCTAGCTTCTTCCTGGAGCGCGCCGCGCCGGGCCCCCAGCGAGTCTCCAAGAGCCAAGCCAGGAAAAGAGAATGTCGGAAAAAGCGCGCCACCCTTCAGGTGGCTGAGGGGCAGATCGTCCCTCAGTCCAGAGGTCCCGGTACTCAGCGCAGAAGTACCATGTTGGCCTCTAGGCGGCGCTGCGTGGGGAGGGGCTTCATGGGGGCGGGGCGTCCCGCCCTGTCATGACGCAACATACGGCCCCGCCCCCAGCCCGGGCTGTCACTCACTCTACTACAGCGGCTCCAGCTCGGAGCTCGCGCCGCTGGGGAGCCCACCGCTGGGGAGCCCGCGGCACCCGGGCTGGAATGCTCCGTCTTTTGGCTTCTTCACGTAGGCAATGATAATGATGATGCCCAGACAAACCCGGGGCAAGATCCCGAATAAAGAGAGCTGGTGTGTGCTCTCTGAAGTTGGGAAAACGAGACAATTTCTCAGTCAGCTCAAAAGCTGACATTTTCGAGCAGCCGCGCAGCCGAGTCCAGACCGACCCCACGTGCGCTCCTGAAGAACGTGAAAGGAGCCCAGTCGGGGCACCTGCACCTCGCGTCCACGGCAGCACCGCTCACTAAGGGGAGACACGGACCCCCTCGGTGAGACGCACAGAGCGGCCGCCTGTGCAACAGACACACGCACACCCACACGCACTGGAACCCATCACCACAGGAAGGTGGACCCCTGTCATCGTAGCACCGTGCACACATGGGGGATGGGGATCCGTGAGGCTCTCACACAGACACCCCCCAGGGGACCCCATGTCACGTGGGCCCCAAACACCACCCAGTGTCGTGAGACGTCCCCTCTGACCCCTCCAGGGGTTTGGTCGTGTTCAGGACCTTGCAGGGAGGCCTTTGGATCGTTGTGCGTTCATTTCTGTGTCTGCTGGGACGTCAGGGCCCAACTCCTCCTGGGCCTGGGGACGTCCAGGGTCCCCAACACCACTTACTGAGAAGCCGCCCTTGTCATAGAGGGGTCGGGGCTCAGGGTCTGTTTGTTTAAAAAACGTCCCCGAGTCCATGAGCAGGAGAGTGAACACCACCATGCATGTCTGTCTACACCGATATCTGGGTGTCACTCGGCCACACAGAGAGGTGAGGCCCTGGCAGGTCCCACTGTGACTCAGGGGCTGGGGACTTGAGCCTGAACGAGAGAAGCGGGGCACACAAGGCCACGTGTCCTTGGATTCTGTGTCTGTGACTCGTCCCTATGTATTTCTGAAACTGCCCTTCTGTCTCCATGAAAACTGCCCCCTTGCCCCCTAAAAACTGTCCCTCTGACCCCTGAAAACTGTCCCTATGTCCCCGTAAAAACTAGCCCTACTCCCCTGAAGACTGCTTCTCAGTCCCCCAAAAACTGCCCCTGGGCCCACCTGAAGCCTCCCAGGTGAGGTAGGGCGTTTCCGTGCCAGGAGGCCGCGGTCGTGATCACTGCTTGCCTCCACTGCGGTCACGTCCTCAGGGTGAAATGTACCCCTTGGCGCGGTCCTCCGCTCCTCTCAGTCTGTACCATGCGTCCGCTGCTGCTGCTGCTAGGGGCGCAGGTGGGTCGGCGGGGGCTCCGCAAGGGCGGACAGCGGCAGGCGCTCCAGGAACCAGACCACGGCTAGGACACTGGACTCTCCGGAGCCCGGAGTGCGAGCTACGCCGTTCCGCGCCCCGGGCCCCGGGGTCCCAGGGGCCGAGAGCGGGTGCCCTCCAGGAGCAGGGCACGGGCGTGAGGCATTCCCGCGTCGGTCCCCACGCGCAGCCTGGCCGGGCTCGGCTGGTAGCCTCCTCCTTGGCCGCCCGGCTGGGCAGAGCGGGCAGCGGGGCACACGGTCAGGCCGCTGGTCCTCTCAGCTTGGACGCGGTGTTCCGCGGTGGCCCCCGCAGACGCGCTGGGAGGGACCCTCCTAATGATGCTTTTTCAGTTTGTGGGCGGGGATGTGATAACGGCTTCCGGAGGAATAACTGGTCCCCGGTGACGTGCACACTTTCCTGGGAACCGCTGGCCCTGCCGGGGTGGCCCTGGACATGAGAGCGCACCGCCCCCCCACCTCCCACAGGCGCAGGGTCATCACTGGGTGGAGCAGCGGGGGCAGGTCTCCCCTCTCCTGCCCCTCCCCACTCTCTCGCAGTGCTGTGCAGAGAGGTTCAGAATGTAAATGAGGAAAAAGTAAATAAAAGGGGATTTGAGAAAAGACAGTAAATGAAACATACAGCCGTAAGCGGGAGGGAGGGCCAGGAGGCTTCTGTACGTGAAGAAGCCCTCGGTCCCCTTCTGTGCTGGGCACCCCCAGATGGCTCCTCGCTGGTGTTGCCGTCACTGTCACTAACTCCTCTTACTCCTAAAACCTGTGCATCGTGACCCGTCCCAGCCCAGGGGACGGGGTGGGGGGGAGGCCCCCTTCCTGACCCCACGTGTGGAACCAGTGAGCTGACCGCCTCCGATGCAGGGGGGGGACGGGGGAGGGCGCAGGGGCGGATTCTTGGGGGGGTGGGGCGTGTGAGGGGAGGGGCCCCAGCTCTGCAGGGAGAGGGTCAGGGTCTGGGAAGGAGACCTGGTCCGAGTGGGGGGTGGGTGGTCAGGCAGCACCTGCCTCAGGTGGGGGCGCTGGGATTCACTGAGCTGAGACGCGGGCAGAGGGGCCAGGACAGGTGGGCCGTCTGGAACGATTCTCGTTCAGTTCCAGCTGGTGGAGACTGCCCCAACCCACTCGACTTCCCAGCCGAGCCCGGGTTGCCCCGGCCCCACTGACCAGTGCAGGCCCTACGAGTACTGGTCCACAGGCCACTGCTGCCAGCTCTGCCCCGCGGGTGAGTCTGGGACGGGTCCGTCAGGTGGAACCACGCAGTGCAAGTGTATGGGGCCGTGGGGAGGGGCCCTCTCCTGACAGTGAGGAGGGAGGGCTGGTTAGCAGCACCCACGAGGGGGACGCGGCACAGGGGACACCTTCTAGAAGGAAGCGCTGTTTGCCCCCAGTGAGCCTGGCAGGAACCTGCTGGCCCAGTGAGGTGCTCTGGGTCCTGAAGGGCACACCTGTCCCCTCTCCTCCCGGAGGCCGATCCTGGGCCCTGGCTGGGAGGCGGAGCACTGGGATGTCGTAGTCCTGATGACAGGAGGCACGTCTTACCACTCCTCAGTGTCTGCCGGTCTGGGGGCCCGGGTCCCGGTGGTGCCCACAGCACAGCAGTCGGAGGGGCGGGTGCCAGCAGGGGCAGGAGTGCCGAGGGTGGACCCTGGGCAGTCCGTGCTTTCTCATGTGTGAGAAGGTGTGACGTCCAGAGGTCACTCTGATCCGAAACTGCAGACAGAAGTGTTTCTCTGTTCCCACTGGAGAGGCTGCCCCCAGGACTGGGTGGGCAGGCCACACAGCGGGGACGCCCCGTGTGCCCCGAGGGGTCCAACCACAGCGCCCCCCTCCTGCACAGGGGAGTATGTCCGTGAACACTGCAGCCGCCCCCACACCCGGGGCCAGTGTGAGAAGTGTGACAGGGGCACGTTCACGGCGTCCCCCAACGGCCTGGAGTCCTGCCTGCTGTGTGGCACCTGCTCCAACGGTGAGTCTCCGCCAGGCGCCTTGCCTGACCTTGACCCTGCCGTGGCCTACCTTCAGGTCAGGCCTCAGGACTTGGCCACAGGGATGCTCACGATTCAGTGGGGAAACGTTTGGGGGGAAGCCGGGGCCCTCGGGTGAAGGAGGGAGGTCACGGCCCCACAGAGACGTGGCGGGAGACGCCCGTCAGCACACCCGTCGTTCCCCAAGTGGTGTGACAGCAGGAGAGTGACGGGACCCAGAGAGCCACTCGGGTTCCACGTTCTCAGCCCCGTTTCTGTTCTCAGTTGTCATATTCAAATGGGAAGGCAGTCGGTTCGACGTGGAAAAGTGGGGAAACCCAGGCACAGACGAGGAGGCAGCGGGTCCACGTCACCCTCAGGGGGTCAGGGACTGGTTACTGTTCACTGCCAACACCGTCACAACGGGCAGGGAAGTGAGGAATAGAACAGAGGCCGCCGACCATTGGTGGTGTCTGATCACCTGTACGTGTGTGTGTGCCAGCATGGATGAGCGTGTGTGTGCGTGTGTTTTTGTGTGTGCGAAGGGGAAAGAACTACTCGAATGTCACCTGCAGATGTCACCGTGTTTCACCCCAACACACCACCTCCCGCACTTCCTACATGCACCAGGGGTGCGTCCCCCACCCAGGGGAACCAGCAGTGACCCCCAACACTAGCCCACACTCGGAGGGACCGTCACCGGTTTCCCTTTGAAAACGCCCCCATCCTGCACCTGCGGAGCACAGGGTGGGGAGGCTCCGCCCACCTGCCCGCCCAACCTGGGAGGCTCCGCCCACCCGCCTGCTGCCCAAACACGCCCCCAGGCGTGGTGGAGACTGGACTCCTGCCTCACTGCCAGTCAAACGATGGTGACCTCACCTCCGGGGTCCGTGACCCCGGAAGCCTCAGTGTTCCCATGGGCCCAGATTCCATACACACGCTTTACAAGTGGCTAACCCCACAGGAAAAACACCCTTATTTTCTCGTAGCCACAGAGGTACACACGCAGTATTGATGAAGAACAGTCAGGCATGTGAGGTGTTTTTTTTTTTGAAAAAGGAACTCCCCGGTGGCGGCATTTTGAGACTGGTTCACACTGTGTCCGTGTGACCCCGTTCCTGCACCAGCGCCCCAGCTCCTGGCACGGGCCCTGGGGACACAGGGGTGGGACCAGGTGGCAGGGGCGTCCCCCGCAGGTTTACAAGAACCCTCAGACCACCCCGAGCCCTGCCGTGTGGGCCTAACTCCCACCCAACCACACG